GGTAGCCAGGTCCGATGCCATGGATCGCTTTAAAGGTGGTAACTAACACCTTAAAGCGCACCCGGAAGACCACTGGTAACCAGTGCAGCTCGCGCAGCAGCGGTGTTACATGGGAGCGACGAGTCCCTCCCAACACCGCCCGCGCGGCCGCATTCTGGACCAGTTGGAGTCTCCGGGTGCTCCTCAGAGGGAGCCCCATATAGTGGCCAGGACTGAGAAACATTGCTTTATGTTATGTCAGGGGTCTTCAAACTTGGCCCTTTTAGGACTTGTGGACTTCAACAGATATATAGATGTATAGATATAGATATAGAGAGATATAGATAGATAGAAATAGAGATAGAGATAGAGATAGATAGATAGATAGATAGATAGATAGATAGATAGATAGACAGACAGACAGACCGACACAGACAGACATAGACAGACAGAGACAGACATATATAGATATATAAATAGATATAATATAGATAGATAGATAGATAGATAGATAGATAGATAGATAGATAGATAGATAGATAGATAGATAGATAGATAGATAGATATAGACAGATACCGACAGATAGAGATAGAAAGATACAGATAGATAGATAGATAGATAGATAGATAGATAGATAGATAGATAGATAGATAGATAGATAGATAGATAGATATACAGATGCCTTCACAGCTGCCCAGTCTGTATCTATAGGTACCTGTGAGGTAGGTATTATGTGAAGAATTAATGAAGTAGCTGCTTAGTGGATGCGTCATGTCGTCACACAGGTCCAGCTTTTCGGGGGGCACGATGGTGTTCTCTTCACCCCCCAGGTACCGCCCAAAACCCTCCAGGGACATCTGATCTGGGAAAGGAAGAGAAAAACTTGAGATCCCCTTGGCCAAAGTCCTAGATAGAAATCCAAGAACTTCAAATAAAAGAGAATGGATTGAAAAGAACCAGGAAAATTTCAACCACAGCTTCAATTCAAGAACTAGCCCTATATTATTACTACCATTATTAGGGATATTATTACTATTTTCTGCCCCCTAACCGCTACACAAATAGGTCCAAATCTTTTCTTTCTTTTCTTTTTTCTTTGCATTTGGCTTTTCTCCTCTCTTCTCCGTCCACAGTTTTTGTTCAGTTGCTCGCGGACGGCGCGAGAACGGGTTTGTAAAGGAGGACGGTGCCGAGTTCAAGGGGAGGCGCGAGCCCAAACAGGCCCTGTCTTCCAGCTCTGCCTCCTGGCTCACCCTTGGGGCGAAAAAAAAGGGCATCTTACCCCTTTGCTGGAACTGCTGGTTGGGCTCGTACTTGGCGATCAGTTGACGTACTTGCGCCCGGGTGAGGGGAGGGTACAGGACCTCGTTCAGGCGGGGGTCTCGCTGCTTCTGGTTGATAAACTCCATCAGCTGGTCGAGGCTGAGATACGGCTTCCCCTTGGCTCCGCTGATGGGATTAGGACAGGGAAAAAAAAAAGGAATTGGATACAGGGCGTCCTCGACTTACGACCACCACAGTTCCCGTTGTTAAGTGAGACATTTGGTCAAGTGACTTTAGCCCCATTTTACAGCCTTCCCTGCCGGAGCTGTTAAAAGGAATCAACTGCGGTTGTTAAGCGAGGAACACGGTTGTTAAGTGAATCTGGCTTCCCCCTGGAAGGTCGCAAAAGGGGGTCACGTGACCCCGGGAGACATGGCGACGGTCATAAATACGAGTCTGTCGCCAAGCGTCTGAATTTTGATTACGTGACCGTGGGGAGGCAGCAACAGTTGTAAGAGTGAAAAACGGTCCTAAGTCCCTTTTTTCAGTGACGTCGTAACTCTGAACGGTCGCTAAACGAACTGTTGTAAGTGGAGGACTGCCTGTATTGTGTGAGGTATTGGGGCTATAAACCTACAGGCCACAGGTGGTCCTTCACTTAGGACCCGAATTTCCGTTGCTAAGTGAGACAGTTGTTCAATGAATGTTGTCCCGTTTTATGACCTTTCTTGCCGCAGCTGTTAAGGGAATTCCTGCTTGGCGAAAAGGCTGCCTAGCCCACAGGGGGCGCCCTGGAGCGGCTGAGGTGATTCGCTTAACGGCCGCTGCAAAAAAGGTCAAAAATGGTCATATGGGTGACCAAATTTATGACCGTCAAGACCAGGGGTAGGCAATCTTGGCTCTTTTATGACTCGTGGACTTCAACTCCCAGAATTCCTCAGCCAGCATGGGGGAACTATGGCCCCTTCATGACTTGCAGACTTCAACTCCCAGAATTCCTGAGCCAGCATGAGGGAAACATTGGCCCCCTCATGACTCGTGGACTTCAACTCCCAGAATTCCTGAGCCAGCATGGCTCAGCTTGGAAACCTCTCCCTTTCCCCTCAGCGTGGCTGGCTCAGGAATTCTGGGAGTTGAAGTCCACGAGTCATAAAAGAGCCAAGGTGGCCTACCCCTGGCCAAGACTTACGACCATAACCCAACAGGCTCCGTTATGGTCGTATGTTGAGGCGTCTCCCTTTCGGTCTCACCACGGCGTCCGATCCACAAAGTGTGACTTACATCTCCAGCAAGATTTTGTCGATGTCGGGACGGAGGCAAAGTTTGTTGAGGAAACGCTCGAAAATCTCCAGGGTGAACTCTTCCGGCTTGATCGACTCGCTCTGGGGAGGAAGCATAAAGGAGTGCAAACGGGAGAGAAATCTGAATTATTTCTTGAAATTCGGGGAGG